TTTTTTTTTTTTTGAAGAAGAAGAAGAAGAAGAAGAATATCTTTGCTGCTTTTGTCAATATAATGAAAGTGAATGTCAGGGCCATAAAAGTTTCTGGAAAGTTGTCTATATAATTTGTGTGCTATATATCTTCTGTCATACAACAGGCTTACTGTAAAGTATGCAACAAACAGACAAAATTCAAGTCATTATGCACTGAAAATCTTGACATCCACTGAGTCGTCTTGGCACATTCATGAGAGAAGTAGCCATGTCTGATTCATGAACAAATCATTTATTTTGAGTCAGATCTTTTCAATGAATCACTCCAAAGATGTCCCTGTGATGCAAACAAAATCATCCATCTTTGGACCACTTTTCAGTGATGCCCAGATACATCAAACCGACATCAAAGACCTGGCAGTGACGAAAGCCGCCTGTGGTGTTGCATCACGCCACCTGCATCTGGGACAAAAAGTTGTGCTTGAACACTGCAAAGACTACAGCCAATGGCCAACTAGTCTGTACGTTCTACACCTGCACAAGACCAGCATGTGGAAGCAGTCTGTATTCATCATTCAAAAAGGAAAACCGGAAGAGCTAGGAAAAGTCTTCTGTGTGTGACCTCTTGAATTTGTTGTTTGATCACTTCCATTTTTCTTCTGGCGCACTAGCTCACTAAGCTGAACAGTCAATCAGAGTGATCTCTCTCACCAGTGGGCTCTACTGATGATTGACATGTCTGAGAAGTGACATACTGTAATCTGGTGACTGTCAGAATTGGTCCGTGTCTGTCGGAGCAGTGTGAATTAGAAGATGCAAATGAAATCACCTTAAAGTGGTAGATGTTTTTTCATTGTTTTCTAGTTGGTCCAGTTTTATTAGCTGGTCAGAGGTGGTCTGGATTGTTAATTGGCTGGACTATCAACAAGCAGACCTGGTTTTAATATAGTAGACCATCTTGGCTAAGCTGGATTTTTTATTTATTTATTTTTTTAGAATTTTAGGGTTGGAAGAAAAAACTAAACGTGAGAAGAACACCACTGATGGAGGTAAAAACAAAGTCATTGGGGTGATGGAAGAACTCGACAGTGGCACAAAAAGAACCCAGGAGCTTTCCAAAAATAAGAATGGAGAAGAAAGACAGCGGGACATAAGTGGGCGGAGGGGTGGAAGGGGAAGTTGGGAGATGGAGGGAGAGATAAATGAAAGGTGTTTTGAGAGCGAGTGAGAGAGGAGTGGGTGCGGAGAGGAGGGGAGTTGAAAGCCGGAGAGAGGGATCTGGAGGAAAGATGAAAAAAGAGAGGGAGAGACAATGCGTTCAGCTGCACATAATTAGACTGGGAGGAAAAGCAGTGGATCAGGGAGAGGGGCCTCGGCAGACAGGCTAATTATAATTATTTTTCCTATGCTTGTTGTTATTACTATTATCCTTAACAGCATCAATATCACGCATGTGGATGAGGGCCACGGGCCAGAGTCGCCCTGTACACACGACTCGTGCACAATCACACAAAAGAGAAATCCCCAGAGCATGATAGATAGATAGATAGATAGATAGATAGATAAAGTATATTTCATTACCATCTTCAAGTGTTGTAGCATTGATCTCAGAGCTGGAAGGTCCGGTTCCGGCTCGGTTGAATGCCTGGACCACCACACCATACTGAGCAAACTTTTTCAAGTTGTCCAGGGTGTACACCTCACTATCACCTGTGGCTTTCATCTCCACGATACTGTACTGTCCATTACTGCCCGGTCCATTCTCCCTATAACCGATCTGATAGCCACGGATCACTCCATTCTGGAGCTCTTTTTTAGGTGCCTAAGTGGAGTGAAAAGAAAATTATATACAGTAAGTGAATTTAAAACTTTAAAACTGAATTAAAAAATCCTAGGTCTTCAACCCTGCTTCTGGGAACCCACTGTTCTGCAAATTCTTTTTTTTCCTAACATGCTTCAGCAAACCTGGCCTGTGATTTTTCAAGTGATCCTGAAGACCTTGATTAGCTGGTTCTAGTGAGTTTGATTAGGGTTGTAGCTAAACTCTGCAGGACAGTAGGTCCTCAGGAGCAAGGTTGAAGACCTAGGCTCTAAAGTTCAAAGAATGGCAAGTTTAGGAGTCGCAGACATACCTTCCAGGTCACACGAATACTCTGAGAGGTCATTGGCTGTAAAATCACATCCATGGGTGGCCCATCAGGAGCTGTAAGAAGAGAATCATGTCATATCACAAGGATATTAAAGAAATAAAAAATTCTGTCACCTCAAAAGTCATTCCAAACCTGCATGATTTTCTTTTTGTTCTGTGAAACACGATATGAGAAATGTTGTATGATATCATGGTAACTTTTAATGCAATTACAATGACAGGGGACTGGTACTTTTAAGCTTCAAAAAGGGTACAAAGCACCATAAACATATAATAAAAGTGTCCTATAAGACTTAAGTGCTTTATTCCAATTATTTGAAGTCATATGATAGCTTAGTGTGAGAAACAGGCTGAAATTTACAGATAATCTTCCCTTCCAGTGAGCTTTCAACCATTGTGATCGAAACATTGAGTCAGTAAGAACTCGAGAACCAGATCAGTAAATTTCTGTGGACATTATGGAAAAGAGTGGCCAGGAAATTCTTCAAAAATTCATCTCTTGTGTTTCCCACGGAAAGAAGTAGGTATAGGTTTGGAACTGCATGAGGGTGAGTAAATCAGATCAGATTAGGGGTGGGAGACGTACGTGCTTCCTCTGTGCTGATGGTCAGCTCTTTGCTGGCTTGACTGCGTCCAATCTTGTTGTAGGAGTACATGCGAATGCTGTACACGGACGCCGGGTGGAGCTCCACTATGTTGGCCTGGTTGTTGGTGGGCGAGATCTTACGGGTGGCATGTTTCAGCTCCCATGGGTCTGCGACAAGGACAAAATAACAGGATACATTACTACATCGCACCTCCATCCAGGCTGTTCTGGAACATTATGTTTGTTAGCATGCAAAGAGGACTGTTTACAGGTCAAATCATACGGATTTGAAAAACAAGTGATGCAGTGAAAACTAGGACGACCGCATATGTACAAACAGCAAAATAAGGCAATACACCCAAGTCACAATGCCGCAGAAATCCGTTCACATCCCATTCATCTTCTCGTAGTCTGAGCTCATTCGCTACATATTCTTTTGACATACAAATACAGATTTAATGCATGCTCACAATGTAATTCATCCAAGCTTGAAATGGAAACAAAGCAATGCCGCACCAGATTTGTTCTTGTACTCGATGTCGTAGCTGGTGATGATGCTGTTGCCGTCGAACCGCTGCGTCCACCTCAGGTTCATACTGCGATCTTTGACCTCTCGAACCTCCAGCTCTGGGGGATCAGGGGGTTCTGCCAACAAAACAAGTGGAAATAGACTTCAAATAGAGTAAGACAGAGAGAGAGGCTGAGGAGTAAGAGGTGGCTTGGGGCCGGGAGGTAAATTATTGATTTTGTGTCTCTAGATAAAGAGTATCATGTAAGATGTGAGCGTGTTGTTCATGGCTGATTGTCTTGCCTTGCACCGTCAGCTGGATGAGCCCTCGGCCCTCGCCGTATGAGTTGATGGCGTGGCAGGAAAAAAAGACGGAATCCCCTCGCTCCGCTGGCTTCAGCTGCAGAAAGAGTGTTTAAGAGAATAACTTGTTTTTCTCTTTTCCACATTTTGAGGCCCATTTCATGTATTGTTATTGTAAGGTACTTCTCTTATTCCAGTTTAATGTGTCTAAATAATAATAATAATAATAATAATAATAAATACAACCTTTCATATATAAAATCTAGCTCAAAGTGCTTAGCAGGTCAGACAGGTCAGACGCTCCGCTGGCTTCAGCTGCAGAAAGAGTGTTTAAGAGAATAACTTGTTTTTCTCTTTTCCACATTTTGAGGCCCATTTCATGTATTGTTATTGTAAGGTACGTAGTTTGGCAGTAAGGTAGGAATGCTAAATGATTGGCTGTTTGTATTCCCTAATATGTTGTGATTGGACAAATGATGTAAATGAGTTCATCCTTGTCAACCTTTGTTTAGAAATCTTTACCTAGTGTTATCGTTTTTATTTAAAGCTGAAGGGTATATTTTTTTCAAGGTTAAAATACTTCTCTTATTCCAGTTTAATGTGTCTAAATAATAATAATAATAATAATAATAATAATAATAAATACAACCTTTCATATATAAAATCTAGCTCAAAGTGCTTAGCAGGTCAGAATATACTAGAATGCATTGAAAATAATTAAACAAACAAACAAACAAATAAAAAAGCAGTCTAAATAATAATAATAATAATAATAATAATAAATACAACCTTTCATATATAAAATCTAGCTCAAAGTGCTTAGCAGGTCAGAATATACTAGAATGCATTGAAAATAATTAAACAAACAAACAAACAAATAAAAAAGCAGGTCAGAATATAAAATAATTTATAGATAATAATAATAATAATAATAATAATAATAATAATAGATAAGATTGGAATATAAAATCAAATAAACAAACAAACAAACAAATAAATACATAAATAAATACAGCTAAATGTGCTTCACAGATATCAATCCATCAATCAATCAATCATTCAATAAATAAATGAATATATTTCTCAGGTCAGAATATAAAATAATTTTAGAGTGAGTAAACAAACAAACAAACAAACCACAAAAGCAAAAATAAAAGTTGAAAAAACAAAAAGGTGAAAGAGTCTACTAGGAAACCTGTTTGGAAACATTTAGGCAAGCTTCTGCCGTTTTTCAACATTTATTGAACTCCTCCACTGACTACATACTGTACATATACTGTATGTGTGTGCACATGTGTCTCACCTTCAGTGTGGAGATAACTTCATCGCTTTTCTCGTTGGGGTTGGTAGTGATGGAGTACCGAGGGTTGCGGTCAGGGTCAATAACGGTGTCGCCTCGCTCCCAGCGAATGATGATGGGGTACTCACCTCGGGCGGTACAGTTTAACTCCTTGTTTTGCCCCTTTATGGCCATGGTAGTGTTTGGGTGGGATGTGATCATAGCTGGAACTGCATGAAAAAACGGTATATTAGGACAGGAGGTAAATATATGTGAAGGAAAAAATGAAATTAAAAAGAGGCAGAGGTTAGTGTGACTTTAACCCGACACCTGGCTTTCTTGTGACACGGGGCAGTGAGCGTTAGCGTGTCTCTCTTCAACTCCTCAATCACTTTTTCACACTCTCTCGCTTGCTCATTCCCCCGAGTCACTCTTCTCTAGCACTGCCACACACACACACACAATATCGATCTGAAGAGGGTTTCGCTGTTTTGTTTTCATCACTTATTCATTCCCTCCCTTCCAACGAGTGAAACGGATAGAATTGAGAGAGGCAGAACAGAGGAACGATTCAATCAATAACACCAACACTGATTCAGAGATCCCGGTTAAAAAAAGTCAGATGACGTAAACATAGAGCCGCATGATATCCACAGGCTTTGCATTAAAATTTAAAACCACTTTTTAAAATCTACCATCTCTTGTTGAATAACACCACATAACTTAAGTACATTTATCCTAGCAATCCCACCTATTACTGTCCTGAGGTTACAAACACAAGAGCATTTCTTTTCTTTTTCACTGTGAATATTTAAGTCAAGAACCTTATATTACTTTTGAAAATAAAATCTCTTTTCGTTTACATTTCACCCTAAAAAAAGAATTCATAAAAAGTCTATATTGCCTCAAGAAATTTGTAGCACAGATTTTAGCATAAATTGTCAGTAGCTTAATGCCAAAAAATCTAATTCTCGGTACATGGAATGGTAGTAGTTTTCATACTAAATGATTTACAGTATATGAGTCATTCTAATTTACAGTTTCATGTCCATTGATGATAATTATATATTTTTTCTTACAATTGTCTTCAGAAATATCATATTTTATCCATTAGGCATTATACATTCTATAATTTCACACAAATATTTTGTACACCGTTTTTCAGTTTGCTTGAAATTGCCTTAATGTCACTTAAATTACAGTTTTTTGCAATGTCCGCTTTTTGAAGTGAGTGGGTCTTAAAGTCAAGATTATATTAAGTATTGTGTCCAGACAAAATTATTTTATTATATTAATGAGATTTTTTTGTGCATTAGAGTAATGAGAATGAGATGTATTTACACCATATTGCAATGCACATTATACACTTGTAAAGTACAGTTATAAGCATATATATTGACAGTATTTATTTTAATTTTAGTAAAATAATATGGTCTGTATACTATAATTTGAATTACAATAATAAGAATATTTCAAGCATTACAGTACATTAATGAGAATGAGATTAATTTATCACTGAATCATCAATGAACTGACTTTAGCTGGAAAATGACTCTTTGTTAGTCTTCTTGCATCACTGACAAACTATTTTCCTGTTTGACACTGTAAAGCTGCTTTGACACAATCAGTACTGTATAAAGCGCTATACAAATAAAGGTAATGATCAAAATGATTACCATAATGAGAAATTAGGGTGAAAAAGAAAAGAAATGAAATAAAATAAAATAAAATTAAATTCATTCTCTTTATGAAAATGTATTATTATAATTATTATTGTTTTTAAGACATTTCTTCACATATTTCTCCATAAGATTTAACCGAGTAGAATGTTATGGCTGTGTTAATAAATACACCGGTGGATGAGGTTTGTTTAAATGTGGTCAGGACTGTAACTCAGGCCTAGGGCAGTGTTGCGTGGACGGGGGTTTTCTGCACTCTGCATTATGTGAAGGATCAATAATATGGATTTGGACAGAACAGATTGTGTGTCCGATCTAACGATCAGTCATGAGATGGCCTTACAGATTCGTTGTAATGTTCTATTAATCTAAATGAGCTGGGCACTCTTACTCTTGTTGAGAGCTGCTTACACACACATACATACACACACAAGCAGTAACTCCTGGCAATTCTAGCTACTGTATAAAAAAGTCAAAGGCTTTTTGTATTTCTTGCCTCAGTGTGACTGATATATCATAAGCTGGGTCATTAGTTTGAGTGACAAAGTGTGACAGGTGCAGGTGTATGTGCGCCTGTCTGTGTGTGTGTAGAGGTGGTGTATTGTGTGTGAGTGTGTCCACTCAAGCGTCTCGAACGCTTCCCGCAGGCATCAGACTGAGACGTGAAAGCCCATCTGAGGGCCATTCTTAAACAAAGACCTCAAACACACACCATCGCAAACCATCCCAAAGGCTGCAGGTCAAATCGCATCCAAGAAATCCTCAAACCTACTGTGACTGGAATTCAAAAATATGGCTTTATTTGTGTCATGGTTTAATGAGAGATTTAACTATTATGAAATGTCTGATATTCAACAGCTATGCCCTGAAACATGTCTACCTAGAGAACATGTCTAGGCATAAATTAGGTAGCCTTCTAAGAAATATTGATTTGGTCAAAAGCAGTACTGAAAGGCATCCTTCACAAGTGAGAAGATCTCAGAATTTTTATCCAAGACTTTTGGATGGAATTAAGGTAAATGCAAATGTATTAATATATAAACTCTGAAAACTATTAGTAATTCCAATTATTTAAACAATTTAAAACGCTCAAATGTCATCCAGCATTTGTGATTTTTTTTTTTTACACTTTAGAGAGTATTGAGACTTGAGCTTAGTAACATGTTAAATCTATTAAAATCTATCCACCATATTTTTAATGTAAAAGTGGGTACGGTCATTTATAACTTGTAAATGTGCAAAGCTTTCGGTGTCAGTCATATCCAGTTATTTTAGTCTGTACAAAAACAATGCTACTTGATATTGCAAACTGGTATTTGTTGTCATACAGTATTATGTTAATTTATTATCGCAATCATAAACACAAAATTGCGCTAAATTGTTTTACTGTTTACTGCACTTTCTACTTTCTTATACTTTTTTTTCCCCTTTTAAACCATACTATTGTTTTTGTTTCTTAATTTTGTCATTTGTTCATTTATATTTGTTTGTTTGTCCACATATACTTTTTTTTTTGTTGGTTTGAATCAATGTTGTAAAGTTGTGATTTATTTCTGAAATGGTTAGTTTACTTCGGTTCATGGCTTAGAACTCTTTATAGAACTGTTCAGTAAAAGGTTCTTTGAGGAACCAAAAATGGCTCTTCTATGGCATCACTGTGAAAAGCCCTTTTTGAACCTTTATTTTTAAAGGGAACCCCCGGGTATAAAGACTTGTATGGCTTAAAATAATGTAAATGATGCCTCTTACTGAAATATGTAGTAGAAAAAAAATCCACATTATGTTATAAATATATTGGACTATGGGGGGAGCCATTATTTCAATGCTATGGTGTATTATATATTAAAATGCTATTTTTACCACAACACAACTCGGAATATAAAATACGATACGATACCACCTTGTGTGGCTTTTGGTTGTAATTGTTAGTCGAAGAGCAACAAGAGAAGCGATGTAAGTCTTCACTGCTTTCCTACGTAGTCCTAAGAAGAGGAGAAAAGAATGGGAAGATGCCTGTGGACGAATAAAACTTCCTAAAGTCCTGAGTCTTTGTTCTCACCACTTTTAGCCCTGATGCCTTTGAGACTTTTAGTAGACCACAGCTACTAAAATAACTTACAAACAGCAGAGGCAAGAAATGCTAGATGCCATCTTGGCAGGTTGTAAACATGCCGACGCTTGTCATGACGCCACAGCCACTGAACGAGTTTCTCAGCATAGATTTCACTCGATATCCGGGGGCGTTTAGACTCCTTGAGGGGAAAAAAATCGATGGTACGGCATTTGGTTTAAGCTTATGCTCATATCCATCGACACATGTAAGCTCTTTCAGTAGCTGTGGTCATCGTATCAGTATTTTATTTTCCGTATTGTGTATTCTGAGTTGTGTTGCGGTAAAAATAGCAACAGGTAGTACCAATAGCTCACTGAGTGCAACCATTTGATGTCATCGAAATAATGGCTCCCCCCATAGACCAACATATGTATAAAACAATGGGGATTTTTTTTAATAATGTAAATCTTTCATGGATTTTCATCTACATATGTGACCCTGGACCACAAAACCAGTCTTAAGTGTCAATTTTTCGAAATTGAGATTTATACATCATCCGAAAGCTGAATAAATAAGCTTTCCATTGATGTATGGTTTGTTAGAATAGGGCAATATTTGGCCGAGATACAACTATTAGAATATCTGGAATCTGAGGGTGCAAAAAAATCTAAATATTGAGAAAATCATCTTTAAAGTTGTCCAAATGAAGTTCTTAGCAATACATATTACTAATCAAAAATTAAGTTTTAATATATTTACAGTAGGAAATTTACAAAATATCTATATACCCCAGCGATTTAAGACTGGTTTTGTGGTCCAGGGTCACATATTTCAATAAGAGACATCATTTACATTATATTAAGCCATACAAGTTTTAATACCCGGGGTTCCTTTCATGAGTGCAGATGTACATGAGAGCCTTACGTACTTTTAACAGTGAGCATCATGCTCTTGCTGATGTCGGACCCCACTCCGTTGCTGGCCTGACACAGGTAGTATCCCCGGTCTTCCTCTAAAACATGGCGGATCAGCAGAGAACCATTGGACAAGATCTGGATGCGACCCGTCAATGGAACTGGATGGTATTGCTGGGGGTTCCCTATACCTTCAGAATCAAGATGAAGACAGTGTTGGTTGTGGCTCATCATCCGCTCATGAAAACTTGAAATTGATTCGGACATGTAGTGAAAAAAAGATATTACCTTTGGCATGCTTCCAGACAACTTTGGGAGGAGGGTACCCTTCCACAGAGCAGTTCAGAACTTCTGACTTGCCGTAGATCCCATCTTGGTTATTGGGCTGAACCCGAAAACCAGGGGGAACTACAATGAGGAACATATAGAGTTTCAGGAGAGGAGATACCAATAAAGTGGTTTGCCAAGAAAGACATGTTTTGTTGGTCCTATTCCAACATTTGGTCAAACAAACACAGTCTCAACCCTATCCCCCAAACCTAAGTTAAGTAAATCTGCTCCAGAGAATGGATCTAATTGGTAAAATGCTGAGCATCCCATCCCAATATATTGCCTTATAAACTTTGCTCTCTTGCTCACCTGTTACTATGAGTTGTCTCTCTGAACTGACAGTTGCTGCATCATTGCTGGCAATACAGGTGTAGTTTCCATTGTGCTGCAACGAAACTTTAGAGATCTGAAGGGAGCTCATGAACTCCTTGGTTTCGATGGTGACTCCTGATGTTCCTGACACGATCTCCTGCCCATCCTTCCTCCAGGTGATTCGGATTGGCATGTCTCCGGAGGACACCACACAAGCTATGTACATCAGCTTACCGATGGAGGTAGGAGGGAAGTCAAAGGGCTGGATGAGGGGAGGAACTGATGGAGGAAAAGAGCAAGATATATTCAGTATCAAAATTCAAACGCTTCATGGTCTGCAATGTAATACCGACCCCCATCACCCAAAAATGCACATGCACATACATGCTCACACACATCCCACCCCTCCAGCCCATAATAGCTGCTCTAATTAGAGCCCAATTGGCAGGGGGAATAATGGCATTGCCATGGAAACAGAGGTGGGGGGGCTCCATCGGAGACATCTGGGGGATTTAATCTGGGGCTCGTTAAAATTCAGCTAATTAAATCAGAGACATGACAAGACAAGCAGCACACTATACTGACTTCACACTGGAGTCAGTGTTCTGTTGTACCGGTACACACATACACACACGCATGCACACACTAGACCTCACTGTCTTTGTACCAGGAGCTGTAGCCCCTTGTATGGACACACATAGTGAAGTGAAGATTCAAAACCCAACATCAGAGTGACCTCCCATTCATTTACACTTAACATACTGAAAATAACCCCCCACACACACACACACACATACACATACACATGCTAAGTACACTGGGTAATTGATGAATGGTTGTAATGCTGCAGAAGGCCTGTAATCCTGTTGATCAGAGGCTATTAGTGGTGTGCTTTCTCTCAGGGTCTTTGTACCATCCTCAACCTTCACCACCCGCCTACAGCTTAAATATACACTCGTTTGAAGGCAACACGCACTCCATTTACCAAAAACACACCCATTATGCCACAATAAACTACTACGCTTTTCTTTTCAGAATAAATTTAAAAGATTAAGTAAGTATTGTACAGTGGGCATCTTTTTATTAAAGAAGCATGTTTTCAAGAAATGCCAAACCTCAAATGGAGGGTTGCTTTTTTTGGAAATCCTCCATAAAATCAAGATACCCTGCTGACTAGGCTCAAGTCCAAAAATCCTCTCAGGGTGGCCTCTTCACACCAAATCCAATGTTACTAAATGACATTAAAAAATAAAGTATTTGCAATTTTCACACTAAAACAATTTGCGCCAAGCCTTTTGTCGAATTTTCTCATTTTCTGTGGACACCTCAAGTAATTGTTTGGCATATGAACAGTTAAAAAAAAAAGAGCTTAACTTACCAAGGTTATTATAGTTAATGAAAAAATTAAACAAAATTAAAACCATTAAAAATAATTTAAATAAAAAAACAACAGAAATCAGATTGTGTGTGTGTGTGTATATATATATATATATATATATCAGCTTTGTGCCTAAATAATGCATAAAATATACAGTATGCAATACACAAAGACTACATCAATTCTGATGAAAAACCAATTCATGAGAAAATGGTCACAAAGTTTTCACAATAAATCCAATGTGACTAACTGATATGAATGCACCATTTTTTTTTACACAAAAACTATTTACAATACTACATTCTCTTCAAAAACATATTTGATGATTATATTAAAATATTACATGCTAAATACAAAATGACGAATCAACACTAATTTATATATACATTTTAGATATCACAATTATCCGCAAATAAACAATTTACACTACATGATGGTGAAGTTTTTAAGTCTCTGAATAATAATAAATTATGTGGATCATTGTAAGACTTGGTATGAAGGAGATGAAATCTTAAAAATATTTATTAACAGTTTTAAACTTATAATCTAGGTTTTATTTATTTATTTATGTTTGCTTAAAAACCTGTGAACAAACAGCCCAAATTAAATTGTAGAGGGACCTTCTAATTTTTTATATATTTTTTTAATTGTGACTGCTTGTGACTTTTTTTAGGGGGCTATAAACTTCCCCAAAACCATTAGCAGTAATCACTAACCTTTGACTGTGACGTAGACGGTCTGGCTAATGGAGAGCTGGGGTTGGATGAGCACGCTGCACAGATACGCCCCCTCATCCGTACCCTTCTGCACATCACTCAACTTCAGAGTGCCATTCTCATACACCACCTGACGATGGTTGTCTGGCAACGGCGTTGTGCCGTCTTTAAACCACTTGATGGAGTAATAGGGGTAACCAATCACACGACAGTTAATGAAAGTGTTGCGACCGGCCACAGCTGTGATATTCCGCATGGCCCGGATACTGGGAGGACCTGCAAGAGAGAGAAAAGAAAGAGAAAGAAAGAGAGAGAGAGAGGAAGACAGAGGAAGACAAAAAAGAGGGAGAATATGCCAGGTAGAAAAGGGTAAGAGAGAAGGATTTGAGAATGAGAGGGAGATGGGAGACCAGGTTTTGCATGGATATTTGGGGTATATAAGGGAGAGATGTGGGAGCAAGAAAGGAGAAGAACGAGTGGTGGAGGGGGAGGAGGGGGTTAGAATGCTCTTGGTCTTCACACAGCAGAGAATGTGGTGTAATAGGTGTGTGCATCTACAGTTTCAATGTGTCTTGTACCGTATTCTTCATCATAGCTTGGCACATAGGCACATATCGTAGAGACGAACCATGCCTTTGTATAATTTCAGCGACTGAATGAGGTATGTTTCTGTACTAATACGCCAAGTTAATGCATTTAATAGTATTGCTATGTGTGGTGTAATCTTAAAAATAAAATACTAACCTAATGTGTTTGTGTAGGCAGAGTGAAAATACAACATCACATTCCATAGCAACGTCCCAAAACACACATTTAAAGAATTGAGGACTGCGAGAGCAGAGGCCATAGAATTACTTTAGCGAAACTGTGGCATGCTAAATGCTAACAGCTACTAAATAGCTTTTGAAAATAAGCTATTTAGTTTAGTTTAAGCTATAATTTTTTTCTGCTTTTTATTATAACTGGCCAGTAGTCTAAAGTGTAAGGTGGTGTTCACACTGACAATGATTTAATTGTTGGAGTTCACCAAGTTGCTGTACTGCCCTACTGAAAAAAGTCCTACCTTTTAAGTCCAGCTATATCTGCTAAACACCGGGTTAGCTAGGCTAGGAGATTAGCTAGGAACAGCTTCAACCAGCAAACCACTTTATGCACCAGATGCAGAAATGCTAGTTCATGCATTCATGACCTCTAAATTGGACTATTGTAATGCACCACTAGGTGGTTGTCATGCATCTTCAATAAGCAAGCTACAAGTAGTCCAACATGCAGTTGTTAGAGTTCTTACGAGGTCAAATAAATATGATCATCCCTGTTGAAAAATCCAGCATATGCTGGTTAGGTATGTTTTGAAACATGGCTGCTGGTTTGAGCTGGTCCTTAGATGGTCATGTGCTGGTCATGAGCTGATTCAAGCTGGTCATGTGCTGGTCCTAAGCTGGTCCTGAGCAGGAGCTGGTTGCTTTGGACCAGCTTAGGACCAGTACATGACCAGCTAAGAACCAGTTTAAACCAGCTCATGACCAGCTAAGGGACCAGCTTAAACCAGCTCATGACCAGCTAAGGACCAGCTCAAACCAGCAGCCATGCTTCAAAACATTCCTAACCAGCATATGCTGGTTTTTTCAACAGGGATACCACCCCAAATTTACAATCTCTACACTGTCTGCCTATTAAATTCTTTATCAGTTATAAAATATTGCTACTTACTAATGAGGCCCTAAATGGTTTAGCTCGTGTGTACTTAAACAGTCTCCTATCACACCACAATCCATCAAACTCTTAAAGGTCGCAAAACGCTGGACTTTTGATAGTACCAAGGATATCAAAGTTCACTAAAGGGGATTGAGCGTTTTCACATTTGGCTCCTAAACTCTGGAATAACCTTCCTAATAATGTTAAGAGTTCTCATAACCTTGTACTCCAGTTATGTCTGATCAAATGCACATGATTATTCTTTGTTCGAAAAGTCATGAACAACAGCTACGGTAATTATTATCTATTAGCTTTTCTGTTTCTACCTCAGAATGCCGATCCCAAGATAACTAGAGATTGTACAAGCTCCACTCTGGATCCGGCCTTTTGCAAGGACCTCAGTTAATGCCAACTCGGAATAAATATACAGAAATGGAGCGTAGCGGTAGTTCTGTCAGGCCATGTTAGTCAAGATCGCATCAGCTGACACTCAGCCGATCCACGTCTACCTATAGGATCACGACACCAATCATAATTCCCTTCATAAGGTCCCTTCAGTCATTATTCAGCAGCTATCGCTTCGCTCAGGAACTAATCAGATGGCGAACTCCATCTCCATAGGAAGCGTTCAATCAGGATTTTCGACAGGATTCCCACAGAGTATCTCACCAGATTCAAGTTGTGAACTTAAGCGAATTCGCCGTGTTGTTTGTCAAGCCGATAGACTGAAAGTGATCTGAGCGAGCATGGCTCCTCGCAATTGATATAGACACTTTGCCCGCAATTCATCGCCGAAGTTGTGCTAATACGACTGCACCAACAACTTTACACGAGATCTGCTTCCCTGCTGGAAGAACCAAGATATTCAAGAAGGGTTAAAGCATCCATGTAACAACTGGCCATTTCACCTTTATTCATCTCTGAATGTCTTCACGAAGCTAATCAAAGTTTCTTTCATTTTATTGCCTAATGCTATGTTGGCGAACATGCTTCAGATATTGCTCATTGTCTAAGGCTAGTTGTTCAGTTATGTTTGCTAGGCATGTAAACATACCTGGCAATAAAGCTCATTCTGATTCTGATTCTGAAATCTTATCTAGTGTCCACTATCATATCGTTGCTAGACCTGCCGTTGCTTAAGCAGGATTTATACTTTCGCCTGGCTCCGCTTCGCGAGCCTCCGCTGACTGCACGCGCACCTTCCCAAACAGACAAGGCTTTTATACTTGTCGCGTTTGCTGTTGTACTATTCTTTAAAACAACAGGGGGCGACGAGACATAATTGTTCTCTAAAACCATCGGGAATCACTGGTGAGAAGAAGACATTTGCCGGTACAAGAATTCTCGCGTGATGAATGAGTTGATGAATTTATTAGCAGTTAAATTTACCAGCGAGCCTTGTTTTAATCTGTTGTCAAGGCTGTCAATATGAAACAGGCTTGCTGCTTCAGGCTCATCTATTGGGGATGCTTTCATTAAACTTATCCGACTATTTCCAACACGCTGCCCAAACAGACAAGGCTTTTATACTTGTCGCGTTTGCTGTTGTACTATTCTTTAAAACAACAGGGGGCGACGAGACATAATTGTTCTCTAAAACCATCGGGAATCACTGGTGAGAAGAAGACATTTGCCGGTACAAGAATTCTCGCGTGATGAATGAGTTGATGAATTAGAATTTTTTTATGTTGAAACTGATTAAAATAATCTTAAGCTTTTGTGTTTATTTCGCATCAAATATGCTTGATACTAATGCGCAGATCGTAAATTTGCTTCTAAAGTTGTATCAATGCTAAACTTTATCTGGACAAGGGCAAATGCTGTTGCCTAAATTCGAGTATTGACCATATGCCGTACTGCTTTAAAGGGGCATGCTGCTCTTTTTAGCTGTTGATAAAAGAGCACTATTCTTCTATAAGGGCATGCTGCCCCACTCTAGAAGAAGACATTTGCCGGTACAAGAATTCTCGCGTGATGAATGAGTTGATGAATTAGAATTTTTTTATGTTGAAACTGATTAAAATAATCTTAAGCTTTTGTGTTTATTTCGCATCAAAACCAAGACAACTTAAGCAAATAGTGTATAAATAGTATCCAAATGAATTCTATTTCTATTTTTATACAAACAAAATAAAACGTAATTCAATTAAAAAACCTTGGACAAACTATGCAAAAAAAAAAATAAAAAAACAGTTTTCCCTAAATACGTTGAAAGTTGCACCTGGTGGAGTTTGAACTTAACAACAACTGCTTCTGTTTCACACAAATGCCGGCACAGACGTGCATGTTCGGCTAGAGTCGCTTTGAACTTGTGCATCTTCGGAAGCGGAGCTGCGCGGAAGTTACAAAAAATGTCATGCACACTGCCACACGAAACGACATTGCGCGCGCCAGTAGTTCGGAAGCGAACTTCCGTCAACACCGTGATGACGTCATATTTGCCGCGCGCACCTAAGCGAACTTGTGGACGCGTCGAGTATAAATCAGCCTTTAGCCTATCGGGTGTTTCTGCAGTGCTGGTATGCGGGTAAACTTGCGACAGCAAGAAGCTTATGTTAAGCTATTGTTTAAGGCCATCTAATTATCTTGAGATATGCTTGCTGCTATGGGTTATCTGGTTATTGGTAATGCTATTTTCTTTAGGTCTGACTACTGCAACATGCCGTGCTTAAGCAAGCTACACACTGTTGCATAAGCTTCGAGAGTATTGGTAAGGATTGTCTGCTACACTAATGCGGGTTATCAGATAGAGGACATGAACGTCAGCGAACGCTAATATCATGGGAGGCGACAACCTGTATAAACATGACTTGAATTATTGAGCTATATGCCGTGTTATGGATGCTAAGCTTAGGCTAGGCAGAATCTGCGATCTCTAAACCTGTCATTGCTTGCTCTACGGCTGCAGTACACAGTGTTTGCTACAACTGGCAACTAGGCTGCAATCTAGTGGATTCTGCATCTTAATTTCAGGTTGCTTTAAAAAGGGGCTTGCTGCTCTTCTTGGCTGCTATTAAGAAGAGCACCTCTTCGCTGCTACACTCCTCTGGTAAGGGGCTTGCTGCTCTTCTTAGCTGATTATAATGAAGAGCACCCCTTCGCTGCCACTGTCTTCCCAAAGGGGCAAGCTGCTCTTTCTACCTGATCATAGCAGAAGAGCACCCCTTCACCGCCACTCTCCTTCCGTAAGGCATTCAGTTAGATTGCTATCAAAATTTTGGTTGTTTTGGGGGGTATTCTGCTCTCCCTGCTCCTATCAATGCTAGGCTGCGTGGATGGGCAAGGAGTGTTTGCCCAGAACAGAACCATTCCCCCAACCTAAAATGTATGCTAATTGTAAGTTATATTGACAATAGTGGTCCTGACAGAAATTGAGCGTAGCGGTAGTTCTGGCAGGCCATGTTAGTCAAGCTTGCATCAGCTGACACTCAGCTGATCCACGTCTACCTATAGGATCACGACACCAATCATAATTCCCTTCATAAGGTCCCTGCAGTCATTATTCAGCAGCTATCGCTTCACTCGGGAACTAATCACCCACCTCCATCCCCAGCTCGTTCCTCTCGTCCAGTTAGGACTTG